GCCGGCCGCGGCCTGCTCCCGCGCCGGACCACATAGCGGTCTCCGCGCCCGGCCCTGTCGCCCCGCCCCTGGGCCCTCCCCGCCCCCTCTAACCTGTGGGTTCGGACTCTGAGCTCAGGTGTGGGCTCCTTCCCCGAGAGCCTCCGGGTGCCGCACTGCCGGAGCGCCCAGCCCGCGGGTGCTTTCCAGAAGTGCCTGGAGCCTGCTTGGGGTTTGCTTGGATATCAGGTTTGTTTGTAGCTAATTTATTTTTTCTTTCTTTCTTTCTTTCTTTCTTTCTTTCTTTCTTTCTTTCTTTCTTTCTTTCTTTCTTTCCTTCTTTCTTTCTCTTTGTTTTTCTTTCTTTTTTTCTTTCTTTCTCTCTCTCTCTTTCTTTCTTTCTCTTCCTTTCTTTTCTTTCTTTTCTTTCTTTCTCTTTCTTTCTTTTCTTTCTTTCTTGTCCTTCCTTCCTTCCTTCCTTCCTTCCTCTTTTAAATTTTCTTGGCGCTGACCGAATGAACAAGCCCAGGTGCGTGTTGGGGCGCTTGCTGCATGAAGCAGGAAAAAAAATACATATTTTTTGCCTTTCTACTTTCTTGTTCCTAACAAAGTGTGATGGGATTCGTAATTGCTGACAAGTTGCCCGTGCCGCTTTGAATTGGGGTAAATTCTGTACTCTTAAAAGATGATCATAAATCCAGGGTTGGGATTTATTCTTTCCAAGCCTTTATCTTCCTCCCACTCTTCCTCTGATTACTTAAGACGAACGACAACATCAACCACAAAATCCTATCCTGGAAACATTGACTAGATTTCCAGGCTAGTTCTCTAGATTCATTGCAGGTATCACTGGATTTCCTTTTAATGCTTTTCAGAATGAAAACTGTTATGCTCACTATCAATTGATTTCATTATGAATTAAAAAGTTATAAAATTGGAACTTCAATGTACCAGTAATTGGGCCAATGTGTAAGAACAGAAGTATGCTAATTTACTAAAAATTGGGCACGGTCCATAGATAACTCTGCCCGGATGCCAGGAAAACGTGTGTAATATAAAGTTGTTCAACTCTGGTGTAAATTTAGGTGGGAATCTGAGTTTTTAGCAGGTTATTTAGATGACAGTTTTCCACTCCCTTATCAGATAAATATCAAATTAGACTTAAACACATGACAGTGTGTTCGAAGTGTTGTATATAGTAAATTATACTTATATACTTATACTTTTTGCTAGTACAGTTTGGACATAAAGTTTCAAGTTACCAAACAGTTAACTCTTTTCACCATATGTTAAGCAAAACAGTGATTTAGTAGGGAAAGTATGACTCATTTAAAATTCTTCACAGAGAAAGAGAATGATTTTCCAGTACTAGTGGAGAACTATTAAATGTCTCTTACATTAGACTAGAATTTGTATTTCTCTGTATCTTTTTAGTTAGGATTCAGTATTTTAAAACTACTTTGTGGTTACTAATTTAAAGTTTTTGTTAATTAAGCCTTTTTTTCTTAGATTATACTAGTCTATATTTCTGAGTAAATTCAATATCCAGAAATTATTGGAATTTTACCACAAATTTACATAAGAGTACTGTACTTATGAGTTCATGTTTAACTAATCATAGGAACACAAAAATGTGTCACTCGACCTATGCACTATTCATAAATTGATTTGTGCTAGAATAAAATTTACATAATACAGTTTACCTTTATAATCCAATATAATATTGAAAGTAGAGTTTTTGGTAAAGTCATTGGTTAGAATTTTTATGACAGTGCCTTATATAGAAAGTGGGCAGCCTGATGTTAAAATTTAATTTAGGTACACTGAAACATTTAAGTTTCCCAATGCAACCATCTTTTCTTTTAAAACATTTGTTGGGTTCTAGAGAAGAGGTTGGTATACAAACTAGTGAGGTAGAAAGAGAGGTATGACAAAATTCTTCTTACCCCAAACTCCAGTGGGATTAGAGTAATTCTATTAAAAGAAACAAAAACTTGTCTCATAAAATTGATAGAGTTAGCATTTTTTTCTTGAAATCTAGTCAGAGAGAAACCCCGGTGTATATTTAAATTTTATGTTGCATGTAACTCAAATATCTAAGGGGAAAACACATACAAAATCTGTAATATGTGAAAATAGAAGGTATATGAAGTGTCCTTCTGCGGTGGGAAGGGGGATATATATAGGTTACATAGGGGTATATATAAAGAAGTTGATATTTATGAACTAGGGAAACCCATAAGGCAGGAGAAACCCAAAAGAAAATCGAATAAATTATCCAGCATATGTAATGAGCTGCCTTGCGCATTTGAGGGAACACATGGAGAGGAAGGGGAGGCCTGTTTCTCTTCTGAAACAAGAAACCTGATTACAATGAAAGTTATATATTAAAGCATTTTATATTTATAGAACTTGAATAATGGGCAGGATTTGAAATTATGTACAGCTTGGTGTAGTCATTTGCATTCTTAGTCATTGTATTTTTATTCTTGTATTCTTGCCATAAAGAGACAGACAGACAGAGAAGAGAAAGCATCCCTCCCACTCCCCAGAATGGTCATGCCACCATCCCTTCTTTCTTTCTCCCCTTTTTCAGGACTTTGGGCTTGCACATTCATATGCTTGTCATGTTTGTCAGGCCTCTGGGTCTCAAATGGTATGGCCAGCCCTTTGGGGTTCAGCTGCCTTAACCACTAGGCCACTGAGCTGGCCCTGCATTTTTAATCATCGTTTTAGTTCCCTAAGGCTGCCATCAAAGTACCACAAAGTGGGAGATCGAAAACAGTAGAAGTAGGCCAACCACAATGGCGCAGGGGTAATGTAAGGCTCTGCAGTGCTGAAGCCAAATGGGAAGGCCCTGGGTTCATGTCCTGGGGTCTCACCGTACATTCTGGGTGCATGCCTGTGATCCTGGCTAGCTGAGGATATGGGTGGATTGTAACATGAAGACCCTTTGAGATGCTCCCCTGGTCCCCTTTATGGAAGAAATAGATTAA